TCTTTCTCTTTCTCTTTCTCTTTCTCTTTCTCTTTCTCTTTTTCTTTTTCTTTTTCTTTTTTCTGCTGTTGTTTTTAAAAAGGGAATTTTACTTGCTTTCGCTATTAAAAGTAGCAGGAAATTTTGGTTAGAAACTGGTTAACTGAAAATGGTCTAGGAGCAAAGCAGAATAAAACTATTGCCCTACAGATAACACACTGGGGACATCTATTTGAAGGTGACCCTTTCTTTGCTGTCTGCAAAGAAACAGCAATTCTGAAGGCTCCCTTACAATTCAAATTATCTTCCTCTTGCAGAATGATGTGAGGCAGTCCAGTTCACCATTTCAGCTTTCTGTAATAGCAGGGTTCAGAGACCATTCCCCATGTTTTCAAAGATGGTCAGCAGGCTATCTCAATGCCCTACTTTTGAGCTCAGAAGCTATATCCTACTGCCATGCTCAGGAGTCACCATCCAATCAGCTTTGGGTTCAACCAGGGCTCCATATGTATATCACTCATGACCCCTCCCCCCCCATTCTCTATGGGTTCACTGCTGAAGAGTCCTGTGGAAGTGCTTCTTATTATAACAGTGAACAGTGGGGGCAGGAGAACAAGGTGGACGAATCAAGGCTAAATTATGTTCACCTTAAAAAAAAGTGGGCTGAAATCTCATCTTCCTTTGAGTAGTAGCAAAGACATTTTTCTAAGCTTTCAGTCAATGGGTCTAGTGAATCATTCCATATGGCTTTGAACTCACACATAATCTATAATATCGTTGTTAAAGCAATAGGTAATCCAATATTGCTAATCCAGATTATGAATTAAGGAGATGCAGATCATTTAAAGAATAGTCAGGATGATGAAGAGGTCAAGCCATTTTCTACAGAGAAAAGGCTAAAATGGTTGGTGTTTTCCCAGTCTCAGATCAAGCTCTATAAAGATGGTTCTGAACAGAATCAGATTGGTTTTCATTTTTGTTTTTTAATGAAGGGAAACCCATGAGCAATGCCTGTTTATACAGGCTTTGGATTGGAATTGACTTAAGGAAGTTCAGGTTTTGAGGCTGTCAAGGCCCAAACTGATAATGAGGTATGGCAGTTACCTGGACAAAACTTGGCTTAATTTTTGGTTCCTTGTTTCTTGATATGATTTGCTCGCTTCTCTGTAACCGAGTATATGAAATTGATGCCACAGCCTCTTACCCCTAAATTATAACCCTTCACTTTGATATCAATGGCAGTTTTCCATGGTAAACTATGGAGACATGATCAGTTGTCAATCAATTCCCTTCAGTAGAGTTTCTATTACAACAGGTGGTGTTTCAAGATGATCCACTAACAGTTACAAGACAAATAAATAAATAAGCAGACATTTATAAACACATGTTATGATTATGCAACTTGGCTAATAGCTTCATGTGTTTCAGGATGAAATGGGTTCTTGTGTATGTAATAAATAAATAATCAGACATTTATAAACACATGTTATGATTATGCAACTTGGCTAATAGCTTCATGTGTTTCAGGATGAAATGGGTTCTTGTGTATGTCATGGGTGAAGGCATTTAGGTCTAGCTTTACTTACAAAACTATGGAGGAAAAGAAAACCCTTCAGCCTCCTTGGGATGTCAACAGTCCGTTCCAGCTATCAAGTAATTCTCCTCCCACTTCCAAGCAAAAACAGGACCAGGGAAGTCAGCCTTCCATTTCTTCCCTAAAACAAAGCCTGTTTC